ATATATATATATATATATATATACACATATATATACATACATACACACACACACGCACACACACACACATATATATATATATATATATATATATACATATATATATATATGTACAATGCACGGAACGATAAATAAAATTGGTAAATTTGTAGTAACAGACAATTGAATAAGCGCAACAGGGAACTGTCATTACCTAATATTTTGACAATGTGTTTGAAATGTGTTTGTGGATAAATACACACTATGCGAGAACGTTATAGATCCGACGCTACTCACGCTTTTCTTACCGCTCTACATTGTTCATCTAACAATTAACTATGCGTCGTCTGAGGACGACAGTAACAGAAACGACAGAAACTATACACACTCAATATTAATTAAATGGAAAAAAGAAATAAAAAAAGACAGGAGGAAGACAGAGCTGTAATTATTGTTATGAAAACCTATCTTGCAGTGTACATAACATATTTCATAACAATGTAAGTGAAAATTAACACTGGGAGATTATTAATGCAGAACACACCTTAAGACTGTACCGAGGCAGGCGAGGTATTGCGTGTTACTAAGTGAACGTTTACTTTGTCGGTGACAAAACGAAAAATGTGAATGTAAAATATCTCTGAGGAGAGAGAAAAAGATAGAAAGAGAGCATGCAGAAATAAATATCGATAGTACTTCAGGTAGAAACTGTTCACAAATACCTTACGGCAAGCCGTCTGATCCGGTTATTTTTTCGTGTCTCCATGAAAAATGATATCCGACTATCTTGTCAATTCTGATCCTGCTAAACGCAAGTTCCAAATTCCATATCCGACCTAGGAGAGAAATCCGTGAACCCTATGAAGCGCGAACGGCATCATGCTCGGCTGCATGGCGTTTAACTGAGACAATACTTGAAATCCAAATCCATCCTTTGTATTTCTCATATCATTCACTTAATGAATCCGAAGTGATCCGCTGTGACGCGACTCCACTGAATACTCGTCGGCAATTTTTATCCGTATCCAAAAATCGTCCACATGCATACTAATTTATCCCGTTCGAATCCTGTCTCAGCGTCCTAATCCAAATACACTCGGAATCCTGTCCGTTCGCCACTCGTATTGAGTTCCTCTAAAACTATGGAGCCAGTCCTCGTCAAGATGTGACAGTGATAGTTCGCTTTACTCAAACTGTATCATCCTCTTGTCCTATGTCAGTTAAATCCTGAAGACTCACACCGCAGTTTGCAGTGTGCGCGACAAAAAGATGCACTTGATTATCACATCGAGAAAATGACTGTACTTATCGGTAGACACGTGTTTCTTTTTTCCGTTTTCGACAATTGGATCTTAAGTCACCGGTGTTATCAGGTATACGATACTCTGGGTGCGCGATGGTCTTCCCAAAGAAAAAAAAAGCACTTCCACCATTGAGATTAACACTAACGAGTCGTTTCGTACGTGATGAATGTTAACAAAATCAAATCTAGCGTTGACGGCAGTCGTTGCGTCGAGAAGAGAATATTGTGCCGAGAATCCGTTCTCAACGAAGAAAAATTAATCTCCACAAAAATTGAAAAAATAAAAAGATAGAAACTAGAAATTATGAACAAAACGCTTCCAACAGAATCTGTGCAGTTGACAATCCATTACTGGTTTGACTGTTCGAACTATTAGTGGTTTAATAAACGCGGAATGGTCTGTTTCTTTTTTTTCATTGATAGTGCGCGAAAATATTAATATCTTCGATGCACTTTAACGAATAATTCAGATAAGCACATAACATAATAAACAAGTTCCACTCTCGTTATGTTCCCTCTTAAAACAGACGCACAAGATCTTTAGTTTTAAACTGAATTCTACTATTTTTGTTTTTTCTCAAAAGAAAAAAAAATATGTTAATTATTAGTTTGCCTCCTCGTAATGGACTTGCCAACGTTTCCTGATCCAGCTAATCCAGCTAATCCGGTATAATCCAGCTAATTGAGAATCCTTGAATGGAACGAATCATCTCTCTTTCATCCAAGTCCTCTCCTGATCCTGAATTTCCTCTTGAAAGTTTCCCGTTTCGCTATTCTCATTTTCATCTATGTCTTAATCCTCTTACAATTTATGCTTCGTACAAAATCCGTCCAAAACGCAATCCATCCCAACGTCAAGCGAATGTGTATTATATCCATCCAAGAAGTAAGATCGTGTTGATTTCAGTTTTTCATTCATTGTGTTACAATCCAATCCAATATACAAAAGAAGAAAAAATACATTAGTTTCTTATGCGATGTAGATTGATATTAGATATAGAATAATATATCAATGCAAATGTGATCCCTATGATGTAAAAGTAATTTGTATGTATAATGTGACAAATTTGCGGCAGAAACAGCATAGAAATAGCATTTTTTGCTTAATAAATAGTTACGTGTTGAGAAAAGATTACGAATTAGTTTACAAACCAATGTAAAATCATGGGATCAATTTGCAATAATAGTATCTTTTTAAAATACACGAGATATATTGAATGTTTCCCTTTCAAAAATTATCTCTATTTTAGAAAGAGCATTTCAACATTTTCGTCGTTACGTAGACGTCGCAAATGCGTAAGAAAGGAAAACACAAACAGGGAAATGCGAGCGACACTAATAGATATCAAGTAATAGTTAAGCGCATTTCACCGGTTTCGTCGTGTATTATTTAAGACATATTTCAACCTGCACGTATTAGAAATGTTCAGATTATGTAATGGATATATTATGTTGTATATTTTCACACTCGGAAATGTGTTAAAGGTTTGAATGAATTAGACATTTTCCTGAAATATTACACTAAACGCAATTTGGCAATATCAAAAGATGGTTTGTAAAAAGTTACCATCGTCATTAAAGATCACGCAAATCTATTGTCATATACAGTTGAGAGTGTTACCATCAAGCGAATTAGGTTGCGTGATAGTAGAAAGATTTTTTACGCCAACAATTATATACGCTTGTTATGTAACTGTGTAACGATTAGTAATCATCACAATCGTAAGTCTCATATAGCGTATATGCACAATATATTGTCATCACTACGCGTTTTCGAAACTTAAAATTTCAATTTAAACAACAAATTGAATCATGCGATGAGCCGTGTAAACAATCTTGAGGTATTTATTTGTATACACAAGTTATCCGTTAGAGCTAATAGTCACATCCTATATGTATAAGAGGAAAATATTCTGGACGATTTCTACATGTATGCTGCGAATATACATATATAGCATGTTAGTCCTTTAATTTATATACTTTGCCAAAGATATATACATATACGGAGTGTATCATAAGTTGCATACTTTTTATTAATTACAGATTCATTGTTAGATTTAGAGTTGAAATAAATATTTAAATAAAAATAGTTATCTGTCTCAAACGTTTTGAAAAAATTTGTTATTGAGATGCCTATTTTAAGTGATCTATAATATGTGAGACAATTCAGAGCAGAATTCTGTAAGAAAACATTTGCAGATATTGAAGAAGTACATCTACAGACATTTACAGAAGCACATCTACAGACATAGAATAGAATTCTGCTTTAAATTTTGTTATTATAGATCTTTTAACACTTTATCTGCTTTGTTGGATTCAAGCGTGATCCCAATCATGTCCAAGTTCTTGAACTACAATGTGTGATTTTAAATAATGTTCTTAATGCTACTTCATAAACTATATGAAATTGATATCTTTTCATTCAAACACACCTACCACAAAGACTAACTTAATACACTATTTAAAAAAATATATACTTTATTACACTATAACATAATAATATTATAATATATAACTTGATATATAATAAATGTAATATTGATTGATTTTAATGTGTGTTAACAAGATTTTTAGTTGACTTAAACAGAATTCGGGTTACTTCAATCGAAATTTCTGAATCGTTCATATTCGACCAGATATTTGGTTAATTCAACTAAACTTTTTTTTCCGTGCGGACATTTCGTTCTTCTCTAACACTATAAGAATCTCTCTCTCTCTATAAAAATATATTAAATACGTAGAGACTCTTCTCTACGTATTTAATATATTCTTATAAGGTTAGAGAGGAACGAAATGTCCATGATATATTAAATGCACACACACACACACACACACACTAAAGTCAAAATCAATCAATATTACATTTATTATATATCAAATTATATATTATAATATTATTATGTTATAGAGTAATAAAGTATATTTTATATTATAGTGTAACAAAATATATTTTTTTAAACATTTATAAGAATGCAAATTAAATACGTAGAGAAGAGTCCCTATTTAATATATTCTTATAAGTGTTTAATAAAATTGTTTAATTTGAAGAAAAGTAAAACCTTTATTCATATAATGGGGCCTTTGCGAAAACTCAAACATTACCCAAATTTGACATAGCTGTCAAAGTATTGTTCAAAGTACGCAACTTTTGATACATCGTACATGTTAGCAAACAGGATTTTACATTATTTATTTAGCACTATATATTTTCAAGCGATTAGATAATATATCTGTAATATACATATATGTACATACATATGTATATTTTTTCAGTTTTGCAATATATAAAAAAAATATTTTTTAATGCAAACATTATTATTAAAATGATATCAATGACTTAAAACTCATGAGAGAAAAGCGTTCTCTAAAGCTAAAAAAATCCTATTGTGTGTATGTTAGCACGTGATTGAGATAAAGTTTTCTTAATAAGTCCGTATGAAAGGTAATCTTGATTAAAAAAAGAGCATTGTAGCAATGTAAACACGTACATTATAGTACGTATTATGAAAGACTATAGTGAAAACGTTCGTTAGGCAATCTTTAAAATTTAATATTTTACTATGCAAAGTATATCCAAACGCAAACATCAGGATTCGAGTGTCAATGTGCTCGATAAAATACACACTGACTTCAATGTGACAAAGTAGCCGCCGTTGTTAGAATTGGATGAGTTATTGTCAATTAAAAATAGTCACAATACAGTTGTCAATGACAAGTCTCGTGAACAATACTTCAAAATTGTTACACATTTCACAGGTTGTAGTGATGACAAAACAAGTTGCCAAATATGGAGGAATGTATCTTTAAATATGAAAGTAACTCTAACACTTTTTTGGATAATAAACATGATAAATATGGTCGTGAGCACGATTTCATTTTTTTGTAAGGATAAGGCTCAACACAGTTCTCTTTTATACCACAGGTAATCAATTTTAAAAGGCCAACGTTATTAAACTTTTATTAAACTGAAAACTGAATTCGTGAAACCAATTTCTTTGACCGAATAATAAGTATACTTTGGAAATGAAAAACTTAAAGAATAATCGTAATACATGTATCGGAAATGTGAATCGTGCTCTAGTTCTATACATCAAATATACAGTACGATACAGTTATTGAATCAATTTGAACTTCTTGCAGGACCTGTTTGGATCGGAGGATGTCCTCGAGTAAAATTCAAATCAGCAATAATAATGAAACATGGTAAAAGCAAATATCAGTGTAAACCCTCACTTATATTACCATGTGAAACACATACGTACACACTAGTCGTATGAACGAGATCTGGAGCGAGATCTTGATCGCGAGTAATTACGCCGTAATGGCGAGTAAGTGGGAGAACCACGACGTCGTGGGCTATAGCTTCGGGAACGAGTACGGCCCCTCTCTCTGTCTTCACTGCGTCCTCTATCGCCACTGCTATGGTCTTCTTTTACTCGAATGTAGGCTACCTCACCCTAAATGTACAATAACACGCTTTAGCTTTATAAATCACGACCTATCAAAACAGATACGACAAAGACGTAAGAATGATACAAAGAAAAATCCCAAACAAGAATTAACAAGAGATGGTTAAGTCTTGTGCATCGACACAAGTTATGTAAACAAAAAGAGCATTTGACACTGAAGGAGATATATTCATAAAATTACATGAAATCACAACAAACATCATAGATACCTCATGTGATCTAAATCGTGAGTCGTCTAACTTCTTCACAGCATACTTCATGTCATCATGTCTCAGAAACTCAACGACACCGGTACCATCTTTATAAACGTCCGCGAAGCACACATCACCGGCTTCGCGCATATGATCTTTGAGATCTTGCCAGCTTCCAGATGGTGGTAAACCAGTAACCAATACTCTATATTGAGACCGTCGTGCAGGCGGACCACGACCACGAGAATTGCTCATTTCACCACGGCCACCTCTGCCACTGTCACCTGCTCCACGTCCACCGCGAAAATTGTTGCTAGGACCACCACCTCTTGGAAATTCAACCCTTAATCTATAACCATCGTAGTCGTAACCATCCCTTGCATGCACTGCATCTTCTGCATCTCTGAAAAGCACACATGGTCTTTTTCTACTTTGCTTTATAGTTTTGCTATAATTTTATTCCAATGTTTCTTCTCATATAAATCTTTTGTTATAAATTTATTATGTAACTCTTTAGTAGAACAATAAAATGCTATGTCTTAAGAATACAAGACTTATAGAAAATATTCTCACAAATTTTACAACATATCAACATATCAAATTATGTGTTATATGTGATCAAAAATATAAGATTAGATTTCATATTCAATCATAAGAAGAAATTAGAACATATTTTACTTATAAAAAAAAAATTAGGTCTGGTTGTCACACTTTTTACATACTGATTAAAAAAAGATGTATTCAATATTTTTCAATGCACATTTTCGTATAGGTACAATTTTTAGATAAAAAAATATTATTTTTATATACATTTATACATAAAAAAATTATTAAATTATAAGCAAAGTTATGCAAATGTAATTATCCACCCCATTCTCAGGATTGATTGTCATATGTGTTTTATGTATATGAAACAATTAAAAAATAAATTATTCCTGCTCTAAGATTTTTAATGTTTTATTAAAATTAGTGATATCTTATAATCAAGTACAATAAACAATCATTAAATTAAGATTATAAATCTCATAAATTTTCTAATAATGAACTATAGGGTCTTATATGCAGATTCATTGTCATGATATATATAATACATCACTGCATATACTTTCATGTTCTAGCGTAAGTCACACCATAGCTACATGATGAACTTACAACATATGACAACTAATCCTCCTTAATTTGAGTCAACTTAACCTAAACAGTCATTTGGAATAAAAAAGATTAGATTTATAAAATCAATTGAACCTATAACATTTCTTATAACTAAAGAGGAATTGCAGCTAGAAATTCCAAACCAATGAATCAAGATAAAGAAAAAATTTACCGCATTAAATTTTGAAAAAGTACTTATAAATATCACATATAAATGTTTCTGCCATAAGCCATTTCATACACTCAACTAATGATACAAATTATCTATATTACAATATACTTTATTTATTATGTGAAACATAAGCTTCGTAACAACTGATTCATATGTGATTTTTAAATCTGATCTCATCTACTTTATCTTATATCATCATATTTTTATCTCATCATATTTAACGAATTATCCTTTGATAAAATGATAAAAAATTATGTAGGACATCCGTTAGGCTTTAACGCGCAATACATATATATAAATCATTATCACATTGATAAGAAATGGTAAGAGCTTTAGAAAAAATTTACAACTTGCATGTATGCCAAACAGGCAAGCAGCCATTTTTGCCACATATCTGCTGTACTACTCTCCAAAGTACAAATAAATTTTTACTCAGAATACGTACACGTTTATTGCGTATTTGGTTATATTTGCTTAACAAAATAGGCTTAGTAGAAGACTAGATACAATAGATCGAATACAATAGAATAACGCAAATAACCTTAAGTTCAATGTCATGTTTTGCATTGATCTGTTTATTCAAATTGGATAATACCTACTAGAATGCAAGGAAAATGGAATAATATAGATATGGAATTTACCAGAAGCTTACCTTGGATCGTCAAATTCGACGAAAGCGAACGGCGGTCCCCGACGATTTTTCAAGTCAACAAATGTTACTTTACCAAATTTGTAGAAAAGATCTTGGATATCTTTCGTTCGTATATCTGGTGGCAAATTACCCACGTAAATCCTACATTCGTTTCTACCACCGTGAGACATATTCAGTTTATCGATTGTATATTATTACGATGGGTATACGTGAGTAGATGTACGAACTCAAGATATAATTTCCTGTAATTCCACGAGTAAAGTGATTTTTCGCGGTACCGTTGGATATTTTGCGCGTCCTACCGTTGACGAAACAAACAAGATGGTGATACCGGTGAACGAGCGGGTAGCGTGATCGGCGCGATTCAGAAGGTCTTTCGATATTAACCGAAATTAACCGAAATCACCCGAAATCGAGCGCACGATCGTCCATTTTCATGTGCGTAGTCAAGTAGATTATGCGATATTCAGGATTGGCTGGTCAGTTTATGACGCGTTATGAACGCGTGCATTAAGCCCATTCTACAATTGCGTGAACGTGGTTGTAAGTGGTTGTAAGTGATTACGACAACCAATCAGAGTAAAGCAATCAGTGAATAAAACATTCGGATTGGTTGACTCTTACGTTCATGACTACGCTTACACAATTGTAGAATGGGCTTTAGAGGCTCATCTACAATTTCTGTAATGGCTCTTGCACACAGGACGCGGTAATGTTTGCCGCGCGGCGGAAATTCGCGCGACAGCCAATCAATATGCTGCTTTCCGTAATAACCTTCTAGCTCTTACAGAAAAACAACATATTGATTGGCTGTTGCGCGGACTTCCGCTGCGCGGCAAGCATTTCCGCGTCCTGTGTGCAGGAGCCATAAGGCTGTAAGACGCGAAATGAATTATTTTCATTCGCTGACAGCTCACGTTACAGCCTTATGGCTCTCGCAGATGTGCGACGCGACACACGATATGCGATGAGCGATATCCAATGAGCGTATTGGTATTCCGGAAAAGCTGTACGCTCATTGGATATCGCGCATCGCATATCGCGTGTCGCGTCGCAAATCGCGCTGGCTGCGAAAGCCATTACAGTCATATTCTTACAGCTATTGTACACAAGCTTTAAGATCCAATTCCACAACCTCCGTTTAACTTTAACTACCGATTAAGTCTCAACAGTGATTGGTTAATTCTAATTAAAGGTCACTGCACGTAGAAAAATTTTGACCGTAACCGTAATGGCTCCTGCACACAGGACGCGGTAATATATGCCGCGTGGTGGAAGTCCGCGCGACAGCCAATCAATATGTTGTTTTTCCGTAAGAGCTAGAAGACTATTACAGAAAGCAGCATATTGATTGGCTGTCGCGCGAACTTCCGCCGCGCGGCAAGCATTACGGCGTCCTGTGTGCAGGAGCCATAAGGTCGTAAGAAAACTGATAAATCAGAGTTGATTATTCTCCTTGCGTTCGAGGAATAATCGACTGTGATTGGTCAGTTTTCTTACGACTTTACGGTTACGATTAAAATTTTTCTACATGCAAAGGTCCTAACTTTTCTTAATATTACATGCGATTAGTCAAGTCCAATGGAATAACCGGTCAGTTAAGTTAATTAGAGATTGTGGAACTTAAGTGCTATTAGGCTACACCGTTTACTGAGGCTGCGTTCCGAAATTTACTGCCAGTACTGAAAATCTATAGTTCATGTTACGTATACTATAGAATTTCAGCACTGGCAGTGAATTTCGGAACGCAGCCTGAATGTTTGAAGAGCTCTTGTATTGGAATATTCTTTTAAATCTAAAAAATACACTAATCACATGAAAAAACTCACTAAACTCTCAATAAATCACAGATGTCTATACTAAATTAGATTGCTAACAGGCTATCTAAAGGTCGTCCTACATTAGTTGCAAGTCAATCGCAAGCAGATTTTTATTGCGACAGCTAATCAGAAACTTTAATAGTGCTATTGACGCTTCTGATTGGCTGTCACAACAAAAGTTGCAATTGACTTGCAACTAATGTAGGGCTGCGTTCGGAAACGTTACTCGAGTACTCTCTCTCTCTTTTTATCTCACTTTTGTATTTTACTCACTTCAACGGCTATCGTCTAATAGGTGCACGCAGTGTATGTTTCCGAACGCAGCATAGAACGATCTTTAAAGGCCATTCTGCAATGGCTTGGTTTACATCGTGCACTTGATACGCGTATTAAATAGTAATTTTCTATTAGATAATCTTAATATCGACGATGTATATAAATAACGGTATATTAAGCTGGTATAATACTGATCAAGAAGACTTATTGTATCGATTGAATGCGTCATCGTTGATATGTCAATATTAAGATTATTTAATAGAAAGTTACTATATAGTATGTGTATCAAGTGCACGATGTAAACGAAGCCAATGACGTAATGACAGATCAGATGGGTCTATTATTGTATTTTCCTTGACACACAACTAGATTCACTTTTCTGCTACATGTCCTGCGTTCACTGTCTTTTCTTTTTTTTTTCTTTAAAATGCTAATATGTATTTATCTTTTTACTTATAATACTTGTACAGAGTCATTAATCCCGTTTTAAGATCTAGCTGCGCATTGAAACGCGGCCTAAGTTTCGGGCGTAGACCGAGCGTGTTCCATATCCCTGATAGCGAGAGCCCAGCGGAAATAATGACGTCAGAAACGAGCAGCAGCGAGCAGTGGATGCCAATGGAATGATACATCATCGACGAAGTGATTGAATCACGGTGTGTTTCGGCGTTCCCGTTTAATGCGGCCAATTCTGCGAGTGATATCGTTACTCCTGCCTCGAGTCAGCTGCAAACAAACAAGAAGAATTAGTGGTCGCGTATCTTCCCCATTTTGATGCAGGTAAGTTGGATTCGTCCAACGTTCCTATGCCAGCTTATGTGACAAAGTACCTGACACTCCCGGCTATCGGGACGTAAAATGCAGTTATTAACAAAATAAATGCAAACGTTTAACAAACGTGCAAAATTTACAATGTATTTGCTGGAATGAAACTTACCAGTATATTGTTGTTGCAAAGTACTACGAGCCTTTCAGCTTTTTGTCACTCGTGCTGGTCGAGAGATTAGGAGAGATAAAATAGACGATATTTACATTCAACGGGATAGCCTTCGTGGTTTATTCACCGCAATCAGGTGAATCCAATTTCGACAGTTTTTATTTATTCACGGAATTTATCCACTTGCTTTTTCCAGCAGCATATCTCTGGATACGTATATTCGCAAAAGTAAGACAAAAGAAAGTGAAAAAATATAGAAAAGGAGATGGAAGGTGCAATTGTACACAATAGAGACACATGTTTGAAAAATGTCTAGTGCTTTTTGTTTTGATGACAGTTTATTTTATCATTGTAATCACTACAAGTCTATTTTTATCTTTTAGTTTTTGAAAAATTTTGTTTTTTTATTTATGCGTTCAAAGATTTTGCATGATTTTAAATATTTTAAGTTTTGGGGGATTCTGCAAGATAATCCAGATGAGAATATAAGACAGAAATATAGTATAATATTCTGTGTTTATAGAATAAACATTAATAAATCACAAACATGTCTGACCACTTTGGGCCAATTACTTTGAAATGGGACCCGAAAAACTTGGAGATACGGACTATGTCCGTGGAGAAGACATTAGAGCCATTAGTGCTCCAAGTTACCACCTTGGTGAATACAAAGGGTCCCAGCAAGAAAAAGAAAGGCAAATCGAAGAGAGCCAGTGCATTAGTTGGGACTGTAGAGAAGGCAACTACCAATTTTATTGAAAAGGGTGAGAAGATCGCTTATGAGAATCCAGATATCACAGCAGAGATGTTGAGTGCAGTGGAGGAAGTAAGAAAAACTGGTGCGGCAATGAGTGTTGCTGCTAGGTATGATAGTCTTTCTTATCTATATTTGATTAGTGAATAGTAAATTACTTTCTTGTGTTTGTGTATCATATTTATTTATACACATCATTGTAAAATATCAATTAAATTTTTTTCAATTTAATAATTGACTTGGACAAATATGTTTTATTTCGATTAATTAACAATTAATTTGAGCAAAATCAACCATAGAATGTGTAATTGATGATTGATTTTAACAAATTTAGTTAAAGGTCGTTGACGATTTAATGGGCTTTAATTGAATTATACTAAGTTTAATTATTAGTCGAAAAATCGTGTACATTGAGCAGCCTTTAGTTAAAATTGCTAAATTGAATCTCCAGTTAAACAGTTTTTAATTAAATATGTTAAATTTAATTATTAATCGAACAATCTATAATTCCCTTTGTTCATATCGTTAATTGAACAATTTTTAAATTTGTTGAAATTAATTGTCAGTAAAACGATCTCCAATTGAATTAGCTCATATTAATCGTCAATTAAACACGATAATTAATTAAAAAAGATAATCGCAACTTTGTTTATATATAATCCGACGATTGTGTGTGCAGAGAATTCTCCGAGGATCCGTGTTCGTCGTTAAAGCGTGGTAACATGGTGCGTGCTGCGAGGAACTTACTGTCGGCGGTGACGCGTCTGCTCATTCTCGCGGACATGGTAGACGTGCACTTGCTGCTGAAGTCATTGTACGTCGTGGAGGACGATTTGAAGAAGTTGAAGAACGCCTCCTCGCAAGGCGAACTACTGCAGAATATCAAGGAGTTCGGCAGGAATGCTGCCGAGCTAATTCAGCAGGCGGCCAAGCGTCAGCATGAACTGAAGGATCCACAGCTGAGAGACGACTTGGCGGCCGCGAGGGCTGTCTTGAAGAAACATTCCACCATGTTACTGACTGCTTCTAAGGTGTTTGTGCGGCATCCCGATTTAGCAGCTGCCAAAGCGAATCGCGATTACGTACTGAAGCAAGTGTGCGAGGCGGTAAACACCATAAACGACGTAGCCCAGGGTAAAACGCCGCCCGACGGCCAGCACCCGTATGACGGCCCTGGCGAATTGGCCGCCGCGTTGGACGACTTCGACGAGAGAATGGTGATGTCGCCGCTCGCGTACAACGAGGTTCGCACGCGACCGAGTCTCGAGGAGAGATTGGAGAGCATTATTAGCGGCGCGGCATTAATGGCGGACTCGTCGTGCACTCGGGACGAGCGCAGAGAGCGCATCGTCGCCGAATGCAACGCGGTCAGACAGGCACTTCAAGATCTTCTGAGCGAATATATGAACAATGTGAGTAGTTTGCTAATCTATTACGGGAAAAATGCGCGAACAAAGCGCTCATATCGAAAGGATGTTAGAAGAAACGTGGGCTCTCTTAATTAGGCAAATACATGATGTACGTAATTCGTATACAGTAGATTGCAAAATGATTTAGACAAAAAGTTGAAAGTTGACAAAACTATAAAAATTGGGAGTTATTACTCTATGTGTGAAGAATTTGCCCAATAATTATATTACTAATTATTATTGTTATTTGTTATTATTATTTAGCGCTTTTAATTATATTATTAACTATATTATTATTGCGTAAGTTCGTCCGTAATGACTGTCGATTTTGTTATTTTGATGACTCCCAACTTCATTGTGTCTAAACCGTTTTGCAACCTATTGTACACGTGAATGCGATTATATCAACTGTGTATGTGTGTGTTTATACAAATGCGATTGATTTTTTTCTACACTCATTGAAACGATATTCATTCTGTTGGTTTGTTTTTGTTGGTGATGGCAGTTACAGCGCGCTCAGGGTGGGAAACGGGTAAATATGCGAAGTAATAATACACTCTCTTTGTATTCTCATTTATTGCATATCTACTGTAATTAAGTACTTTTCTTAGGCTAAGTTCTCAATGCGCCAATATATCACGTTACTCTCTAGATCTCACACACTACTGACGCATACTCCGTTCCAGTAACCAGCACTAATCATCATAGATCATTATAAATTAGCTATATGCTCATAGTTAGTTTTTTCTTTTTGCACCGTTATAAATATCAAATGACTAATATATCACTTGGTAGAATTGTGTAAAATAACAGAGTGTACAAAGGTAGCCTCGGCGGAGAGCCGAGTCATTTCGTTTATATACTTGTAAATAACGCTTGCTGCAAGAACGCTGCTATGAAGAATCACGATTTTAATTATGTGTAAATAATACTGTGCAAGATATTTCGTATTTTTATCTGTACTTTTTAATAACATTATCTTAGCGATCTGCGATTCATACGTATTCTTTTCTGTATTAATACTTTTGTTTCTTTATCACTGAAATTGGACTTAAACTAACAACGACGGTCTCGAATATTGAGTAACCGTTCACAGTCGCGAATTTAATCAAGTGCGAGAACACCTCCGCGAATTCGTTCAAGATGAAGAACGATGAAAATATGTTGACAGATGGGGGTGAAGGAACAATCTGAAGGCTTGGAGAGAGCAATAGATCACATGTGTAGGAAAACTCGTGATCTTCGCAGACAATTGCGCAAAGCCGTGGTGGATCATGTGTCAGACAGTTTCCTGGAGACAAGTGTGCCATTGCTTGTCTTAATTGAAGCAGCACGAAACGGTCGGGATAAGGAGGTGGAGGAATACGCACTTGTTTTCACGGAACATGCGAATAAGCTTGTGGAGGTAAATTCAGCTTATGTAAAAAAATCAGAGAGTCACTTCTAAGAGATTCTCTCGAATATTTCATCAAATACCAAGTCTCTTATCTCGAGATATCGCATGTAACAACGCGATTAAAATCGTTCACTTATTCAAACAGGTTGCCAACTTGGTATGCAGCATGTCCGGCAACGAAGACGGTGTGAAGATGGTGCGCTACGCTGCCGCGCAAATCGAGAATTTGTGTCCGCAGGTAATTAATGCGGCTCGCGTATTGGCTGCGCGAAATCGCTCGAAAGTAGCGCTGGACAACATGGAGGTGTTTCGCCAAGCATGGGAGAATCAAGTGCGAGTTCTGACGGAGGCCGTAGACGATATTACGACAATCGACGATTTCTTAGCAGTCTCTGAGAATCATATTCTGGAGGACGTAAACAAGTGCGTCTTGGCCTTGCAAGAGGGTGACGCTGACACTCTGGACAGAACGGCAGGTGCGATACGCGGTCGCTCTGCCAGAGTGTGCAACGTCGTGCAAGCCGAGATGGACAACTACGAGCCATGTATTTATACCAAGCGAGTCCTCGAGGCGGTGAAGGTTCTCAGAGAACAAGTGATGCCTAAGTTCGCGCAACGAGTAGAAGTGGCAGTAGACGCTTTAGGCAGCAATCCTGCGAAAGACGTGGACGAAAATGATTTTATTGACGCATCTAGATTGGTATATGACGGAGTTCGCGAGATCAGACGTGCCGTGTTAATGAATAGGGTAAGAGAGATTCTTTGACAGAGCTTTGCGACTGTCTTTTGCTCGCTAATTTTAATACGCTATTTTCTTCTTCAGGCGGACGAGGACTTAGATCCCGAAGACGTGGAACTGGACGAGCATTACACGCTGGAAACGCGCAGCAAATCTAGCGCGCAGACTGGAGAACACGGCGTGGACGAGTACCCGGAGATCAGCGGCATCACGACTGCTCGTGAGGCCATGAGGAAAATGCCGGAGGAGGACAAGCAGAAGATCTTGCAGCAGGTGGAATACTTCAAAAGCGAGAAGCTGAAGTTCGACAAGGAAGTGGCGAAGTGGGACGACGCCGGGAACGACATTATAGTTCTCGCCAAGCATATGTGTATGATCATGATGGAAATGACGGACTTCACACGAGGCAGAGGTCCCTTGAAAACGACTATGGACGTTATTAACGCGGCGAAAAAGATTTCTGAAGCCGGCACTAAGCTGGACAAGTTGACGAGGCAGATCGCCGATCAGTGCCCAGAAAGCTCTACAAAGAAGGATCTTTTGGCGTATTTGCAACGTATAGCGCTTTATTGTCATCAAATGAATATCACGAGTAAAGTGAAGGCAGACGTGCAGAATATTAGTGGGGAACTGATTGTCTCCGGCCTAGACAGCGCGACCTCCCTCATACAAGCCGCAAAGAACCTGATGAATGCCGTTGTGCTTACTGTCAAGGCTTCCTACGTTGCTTCTACTAAGTATCCCCGACAATCTACGGTAACGGTAAGTTCTGCTAACATTTACTTTCAGTCAAATACTTTGAGTCACGTATTAAAAAGTAAGAGTCACAAAAAGAAAGATAAAGACGCTTATATCTTAAGCTTCTAAGATTATTGCGGACAATTGCTCACGTCATATTCTTTCATATTTTTTTTTGCTGTTCATTAACATGTGGATTTTCAGTATGTAAGTATATATTAACGAATCATCATTCGTGCACGAACTTTGTAGGATATATTTGAAGATATCGTGGTGGTAGTGTTAAAGAAATTTTAGAGAAGTTTAATATCCGATTGTAATAAATTTTTGAATACAATTATGTGGTGCACAAAAGTGACAAAGAGTATAGATCATAGTCTCAACGCGATAATATGTATTTATAGTTTATTTTCATTTCCAGTCTCCCATCGTTATATGGAAGATGAAAGCTCCGGAGAAGAAACCGTTAGTACGTCCCGAGAGACCTGAAGAAGTAAGAGCGAAAGTGCGCAAAGGATCGCAAAAGAAGGTGCAGAACCCTATACACGCACTTTCAGAATTTCAGAGCCCCACCGAGAGCGTATAAACCCCCGATGTAAGTAAACGAAAACGGAAGTAACGTATAGCATATATGGCAGCATCACCTTTCGAGAGTCGTAAGGTCAAGATATTTTATTTTCGACGATGTTTGAAGTGCGTGAATGCACAGGATATCTGTTAATCATAACGCGCTACGCTACACATATGTGGGTATATATATATACATACATTATACGTGCATATATTTAAGTATGTTAATTATATCTGACCGAGAATAATATCCGTAAACGAAAAATGAATATGCATGATCCCAAAATAAGTATAACCGACCGGACTCTCCTCGAGGGAGACCTCAATAATGCGAATTAATCCGGACTCCGATGTACACGTGTATTCTCAATCTTACAAGGGCACAATTGACGGCAGTGACTTTGAATTGCAGACCATATTCGTTTTACGTAATTATACGGTGAGCATCATCTTCCGTATTTTTGAGACTTCTTACTCCGTAGAACCAAATGCGGTTCTTTATGATCTTTAGATTCCTTTAGCTGTAAGGTCGATACGTACATTTCACTTATGCAACATATTGCAAAACCCCGATATTTTCTATATACTAATTTATTTTTCGACAATAAAATATTTCTTATATAATCGATTTGTATTACTTTACACGAGATCGGTATTGGTATTGGTTATGTATGTTTATCAATATTAACCTTAATACGACATTCGTTATAATATCGAAATTAGAGGAAAATCTATTTAAGAACTCTTCTCCTAAGAAATCTATTATATCTTCTGATAGAAAGAGAAAGAGAGAGATTAAGCTCAGACAAGGTCGATACAAATTATCGACATGAGAATATCCGGATCGAGCATATATGTAATATTAATTTAGGCAAATTAATTTACGGCACTTCGGGTTATTTAGCTTGATTTTCCATTATTCAATTTGTATATATTTATTTTATGCACATGTTAAAAAGATTTGTCATTATATATACTAGATCTGGTATTATTTATTTTATTATACTTTTTTTTTTAAATTTTTATTCTGTTTCGTATCAGATTTCGTAACATAATAACGTCAACACAATATCATTAGTTTACTAATTATATATACAAATTCTTTTCTAAACATTACTATAAAGCTATTACAACAGATTTTACTGTTTTGATACATTTTTTATTCCTTTTTCAATAATCAGTAAGTAATCATATCACATCAATAATGTGTAGAAAATCTTAATATTGTAGTTATATTGCATATACGTAAATGTTGAACTTACAATAAATTGATATATCCTTTCGGGAATGTTGTTTGAGTTTTTTTACAAACGCCGCAATTCCAACGCGAGCTGACATATAAAGCCAAATATATTCGAAGGAATCACAGTGGAAATAATCGAAGTGTCGTAACTTTCCCTTTACTGCTAGACTTCCCCTTCGCTGAATGCTCGGCCCAGATATTCTTACGTCAATGATACAAACCATAAATTAACACAGTATTCTATTGAAATAAAAGAGACTGCAGATTAAAGTATTTAGTATATTAACTTGTATATAAATAAACATAATTACAATGTTATGGACGAATATTATTTTCGATTTTTGTATTATGGACTTCTGAATGAGAAAGTGTATGTGAGGAAACGAATTCTACAATTCCTGTTTAGTCCATATCGCAACGATAATAATCTTTTACTGACAATTTGACTATAATAATAATAATAATAGTAACAATAATAATCGAATATATCAGGATTTTTTAACGTTACATGCGAGGCATATACTGTACTTCATGTAATGTACCTGCAGTATTGGCAAAACCCGTATTATTGAAAGGCCAAAAGAAACCGGATGCAATATGGTACAGTATACATCGTCTACGGTGGCTCTATATTGAATAATTCTACATATACATCTATTTATAAATACGTATGAAATGTTTCTTGTATTTTGTAACATATATATATATAGATCAAGACCTATATATATATATATAGTATTGTGATTGTACACACACACAACACACACACACACACACACACAACGATTTCCTATAGAAAGAAATAACGTTATAAATATAAGACGCAATTCATGTATTAAAAACACGATTTTAACGTGCAATGGACGTTATATTGTTTTTGATGCAATTTTCTATAGCGTTGAATTTAGCTCTCGTTCCATGTAAAACACATAACGATAATCTTTATATTCGCGGAAACGAGAGACAAACGCAGTTCTATAAAATTCATGAACTCTTTACAATGTTCTAGAAATACTTCATTGCTCATATATATGATTGCAGTACCTCGATACAAGAATGCTGTATTACAACAGGTTGCAGACTTTACATAAAATCGAATCCCATTCTAATTACCACAAAGTGAATGCCAATGTACGATGTAACAAATTTCAGCATCGTCCCTTTTTTATTGTAATAAAACGAATACTGATTATATTGCAGTTATACTTTAAGACTAAGACATTGTAATCAATATGCTGCCAAATATAAGGTGATGCTTTTCTCATAATAACTTGTTCGTTATTCAGCATGTGTGCGCACAGAGTTATTTTCGCTTGTAATTATCCACACACGCAAATGTTACTTAGCGTTCCTTCAGCACTGTCTGTGGGATAGGAAATAATTAAAAAAATTAATCTTCATCTACATTTTAATACATATATCTATATTTCGTTTTATGCTACATGTTAAATGCTACAGAAAAAAATAAAGGGCAGGCACGAAAAAAACCACAAATGCAAAAATTCACTGGAAATGACAAAATACATTATATATATATAAGTTAAAATATAGCATATATATATATATATATATATATATGTATATATATATATAAAAGTAATATCACCTATATATCTCTCTCTTGAATTAATGTACTAATCATTTTACAATCCAACATGCGTCGCATTGCACAAAGTATAATACGATATAATATAACGATAATGACAATATTAACCACGCTTCTTCGCAACGCGCGTTACTTAAAGTGAAAATTATATTTTTATATGTCATTTTGCTTTTGTACTTTTTTTTGATTAACATAATGCTAAAATGATAGTTAATTTTTATAAACACGTAAGTGGTCGAACTTTTTCACGGTAAATTCGATACAATGTTCGCACTGATTACTGTAGATACATATAACCGGTTATAACGATTTTTACGATGTATGACTGTTGCTTATTGTAGTACTGTTTCATATTGTACTATATAAGAAGATTACAGCTGCACATTTGTGTTTTATATCTAAAATAATCTAATATTCTTAATATTATATATCATATAGAAATGGGAGATATATACCGATGTATATGCAAGTAAATTAGAGAGGGAAAAAGAAAGAAGAATTACAATAATTATCGAGAATTCGAGACAAGTGTAAAAAGCGCAAGAAGTCTAAGAGATTATGCGAACAAATTATGCTATACAATTGTAAGTATTACAAATCTCAGTTCATAAATCTATTGTGATGCAATTTTTAGTATCATACGTAATATATCGTTAAAGTCTTGATGCCTGACGATGCTGAGACAAAGTTAAATTTGTACAATTTGAATAATGATGATACACATATGTGTACACTTATACATTTCTCATACGCAACAACTATTTATATGATCTGCAAATGAGAATCGCATTTATCCACATATTCTCTTCTCCTACATAAGAATAAATTTCGCGAATCTCAGAGAACAAAAGTCTAAGGCGTACATGACACAAACTAGATGAATAAATCCTTAAATGTAGATTAATAGTCAGAGCATATATATTTTTTTATCCATATATATATATATATATATGTATATGTATATATATGTGTATATATATATATGTATATATATATATATATATATAT